GAGCACTGACTGCTCTTCCAAAGGTCCTGAGTTCATTTCCCAGCAACCACATGATGGCTCACAACCATCTATGAGACCTGGTGCCCTCTTCTGCCCTGCAGATGTACATACAAACAGAACATTGTATACATAATAAAATGTTAAAAAATATGCATTGTATCCTCACCACATACTGGAAAAATGCTAATAATGTAAGTGTTCTCACCACAAATAAACAATAAATTTATTCATTGGCTTCACTTAGTCATCTCCTAGTGTATATTATTTTCTATATTATTCATTTATTTTAAAAAGAAGAAAAGGCTCAAGGACAAGAGTGCAAAAGGGCTGAGAGGTTGTACCTCAGGGAGTAGCTCTTGCGGTGGTAATGCTCGGTGGTGGGGGATAAACAGAATAAGGGAGCTTAAGGCAGCTTTGAGGCTGTGGGATAAGGTGACAGTGATGTTGGTGCATCCATCCCTCAGGTTCACAATGAACCCAAGGTGTGGGATGAGCAGTTGTCAAACAGAGAAGGCTTCAAGGAGCTGCCATTAGACTTGCTTAAATGTGCACACTTGTCGTGATTTTGTGTTGACACAGGTAATTCTAGACCCTGTGTTCCTACTTGCTAGCATTTTGCTCTTCTCACTACAATAGATGCTTACTTCTATAAGCAGTGTCCTTCTGGAATCTTCCTTTTGTGCCTCCAGCTCTCCAACAGCCAGCTAGGGATCCTGTGTGTGGTTCACCAAATTCTGGCTCTCCCTAAATTCTGGCTCTGTCCTTACCTCCTTCCTTATACAGCCAGAAGTTGATAATTAGTTGTGTGAAGTTTTTCCTTGAATCCACATACCTTTTGAGCAGTCCTCTGTCATTTCCTTGTGCTCATCTGTCAAAACCCCAACTCTGACTCTGCACCTGTGTGATTAAATGTGGCTGCAGAAACCAGCACAGATGCACTGAATAAATACTTTCACTTTAAAGTAAGGCCCATTAATCCTCAAGTGGGTTCTTGATGCAGCCCAGCAATCATACCACAGTTCTGGAGAACATGAACCCTTCTGTCTCCCAGGAGACTATTTCAAGTTTTCTCCCCTCAAATCACTAGCCTACACCCCGCCCCTGCTCAATACTCACCTGGGCTGGCATTTCTACCAAGTCCAGGATACTCTTAAACTCAGTCTTCTGTATTAATCTCCCAAGGGAGGTTTTGGGATTACAGGTCCCCCTCCAAAGTTTTCATGCTACCATTGGTCGGTTTCCTCCATATCCTAGTGGTTCATCTCTTGCCAGCCCATCCTTACTTTCTGCCTTTTGCATCTGCTCCACATCCTCTATTCTGCTTTTAAATATAGGATTGTTTAGGGCTTAATTCTGAAGGTGCTTTCTTTCTCCACATACAGAATCTTGCTGAGGGTCTGCCTTGTGGCTTAATATTAACTAAATGATAATCTTCCTTTCCCATCTCCAGCCTTGATATTTACCCAGAACTCTAGACTTCTGTATGTCACCAGCTCTACCTTGTCTTCTGCATCTTAGTTAAAGTACTTAAATCATTTCTGTTTCTTTGACTAAAACTCTGAACACCCTCCTTGACTTCTGCTTGTAGATCTTCACTAAATTTAATACTGTCATTTAATATTCATGTATCCATCATCATCTTCCATCAAACTCGATCTATAATTTGTTTTCTTTCTCACTGTTTGATACAAGTCACCATCATCCCTCTCCTGGATTGTTCCAGCAGCCCCCAAATTTATCTTAGCTTCCACCCCTGACTTCACATTTTCATTAGGAAATCAGTCTGACAGCTTACTTGAAAGTAGAAAAGATTATTATTGTTCCTTGATTCAGAGTCCTCAGTTTATTTCCACATCATTTAAACTGACAGTCAAAGTTCCTCATGATAGCCTGGGAGGACTTGTGTGATTCCTGCCCCTACCCTAAAACATACCAGATGAAATTCTGCTTTTGCAGTGCTTACACTTATAAATCTGTCTGTCATGTCTTTCAGGCTTCAGCAAAAAGAGCATACTCTCAAATAGAGCTGTTCATGACCACCTTACTCTGCCAGTCATCATTCACTATTGTACATATTTGACTTCCTTGGGAGGGGCTTGCCTAATGTCCGTGAAATAGCGGTTTGTGTTTGGATCATTGTCGTCTCTAGGTCCTGGAATAACACCTGGAAGGTAACATTACTGAAAGTACAGGTTACATGACTTTGGGATATCAGAGAAAAGCCCCGAAGTACAGTGACTTGAACAGGAAAAAAAAATATTTTTTATATAAAATATACATATATTATATTATATTATATTATATTATATTATATTATATTATATT